TTCTTAATATAACCTGACCTGAAGTAATGGAAATGCTTATTTGTTATGACAGTCATAAGAATATATTACCAGATGAAGTTACTGAAAGTGAGCATAATCAATAGCTCTAATAATGAAATTCTTTATTTATTGCGGCGGTGTTATAAATACACAGAGTGCAATTTCAAGCACATTATTTCTGTTATGCAGTTATGGCAAAAATATAAGAAAGAGTTCTATGCATCAAAGCAGTGGCAACAGTTTACATAATATGGGTCTGGAAGTTCTCTTTCTTTTCCATAATTACTGCTTGGCATGGAAATTTCACAGCAGGTGATGCAGTGTCCTCTGTGACCTCCTGTATGTTTGTGCAGACAGTAGAATAAGCCAGAGATGTGGGAATTTTTAATTGATTTAAAGAAAGGAAAACAATTTTTAGTTTATAAATATGTATAATGTGCTCCATATAAGACTAAATTAAGACTTGGTATTCATATACCTAGCCACTGCCTTAGCATGGTTTGTATAGCCTGAACTTGTTCCTCTGCTGCTGTTGTGGCACAAGCGCTGGAGGTGAGCGGACATTACGAGTATTATGCTGTGTTAATCCTTCTGGCCTCTTATGGCAACCAGTAAGGATTTGTGTTCTGTTTGTTGGAAGGCGTTCTGTGAAAAAAGTAGGTTATTAGATGTGGTAGCTGATATCCATTTTCACTGTACTCATCTTAAAATAGTGATAATGCGCTTGCAGTATATACTGCTATTGGCAGATTGTTGTACAAATGTGAAGCCATACAAAGCTACTGAAGTCCCCAAGGACAGATGAGATACCGGTGAAAATACTACGGTTGTTCTCAGCATCTGATTCTAGTAAGAAAGTGCTTTCTTTAGAGAGGTAATTTTGCTCCGTGTATGCAGTGTCGATACTGCAGGCATACCTCGGAGATGTTGCGGGTTCGGTTCCAGACCACCGCAATAAAGCGAGTCATACTATTTTTTTTGGTTTCCCAGTGCATATAAAAGTTATGTTTACACTATACTGCAGTCTATTAAGTGTGCAATAGCATTATGTCTAAAACACAATGCGAGATCATTGCAGGAATTACGGAAATGTGACACAGAGACACGAGCACATGCTGTTGGAAAAATGGCGCCGATAGACTTGCTCGACGCAGGGTTGGCACAAACCTTCAATTTGTAAAAAAAACGCAATATCTACGAAGTGCAATAAGATGAGGTATGCCTGTATTAGCATACAGATTGAGACAGTGTGTCTGAATGGTCAATCAACAATTGAAATGTTGTGTAGTATCCCAGGTCCCCCAGAGTCGTCGGACTCTTGACTCTTGGACTAAGGATTAACTACTGCAGATGAGCCGAGCGGATGCTTCTGTGTTCAGGTGGCTATGGAGCTGTTGGATAAGGCGTCACTTAAGAGTGATATAGCTCAAATGCAATCTTTAGATGTGCTTTATTGACAGAGCTGCTGATACAATCAGTGAGGTTGCTGAGACTTCAGAGACCCAAGAGCAGAGATTCAAATTCAATGGCAGCGTGACTGCCTGAGCTGAATGGTTGTAGTTACTCCTCCTTGTCTTAAATTTGCGAGAGGTATATATATGCTTCAATAAATGAATTCCCTTGACATAGGGTACCAAAATACTCCAGTTTCTGGTACTGATGTGGAAATCTTTTGCAAGCCCATCAAACCATCACGACTTGGGTCTTCCACTTCTTCTTGTACCATCACGTTTTCCTAGCATCAATTCCTTGTGGGCTCTTCATCATTCATTCTGAGCACATGTCCTGCATATTTTATTCTGGAAAATTTGCCTTTTTTGGAGATTTGAACATCATTATATAATAAAATCTTCTCGGGCTATCAGCCGTGTCAAGTGGTTAAACATGAAAAGACCAACGTTTCGAGGTCCATCTCTGTCCTCGTCCTCAGGGTACTGAAGTGGTTGGGGCTGTCCACCTTATCATGTGACTGGTGGATGACGTCACGAGCACGCCTTGTTATGCTCAGCTTACCGATTAGACAACATTCAACACAGGAAACCAGGCCCGGCTTAGCACAAAACCTCCGTCTCTGTTGATATTTGCGGTATTCAATCGGATTTCAATTGCCTCCTTCACGATCCGGTCCATGTAGCCTGTTGCCTTATCCAATACTGAAGTATCGCTAAAGTCGATACGGTGCCTTGTGTTGAAGTTGTGTTCTGCAACCGCCAACTTATCCGGCTGTTTGAGACGTACATGTTCTTTACATCTGGCCTCAATTGATCTCCCCGTCTGGCCTACGTATACTCTGCCACATTCATATGGAATACTATACACCCCAGGGACCTTTAGACCTAAGTCATCCTTCACAGGCCTGAGCAAATGTTTGTTTTTCGTTTGTGGTATATGAACCGTCTTAATGTTATATTTAGCCGAAAGCCTGCTGATTTTGTTCGTAATGTTTTTTTGATACGGTATTGAAGCTATACTGGTAGTCTTTTCATCATTTAATTTTGGCTTCCGTTTAGGCTGTATAATTCTTGTTATAACCATTCTGCTGAAAAATGCGTTTAGATGGTGAATTTCTTCACCCAGACTATCAGTTTCACATAGTGTTCTGGCGCGTCGGACCAGTGTGGTTAGTACAGCCTCTTTTGTGCCGGATGATGTTCGGATTTGGCGTGAAGGTAGAGCTCCGTATGTGTGGATTTTCTATATACCGAGTGTCCGAGTGAACCATCTGGTCTCCTACTCACCAGAACGTCCAAGAACGGCAGAGTTTTATTATGCTCTACCTCCATCGTAAACTTGATATTCGGACGGATGTTGTTAAGGTATTTCAGAAATTCCTGTAACTCATCCTTTCCGCGTGGCCACACCACGAACATATCATCCACGTATCTATATCAACTCATTGGCTTCCTCATCGCCGAACTTAAGGCTTGCTGCTCAAAGTGTTCCATATTTGGTCGTAAAACGCACCTGCATATAGAAAATATGTGGTAGTGAGCACATGTCTAATCAGATTGGGAGTTTGTTTATGGAGATGTTGCGAAAGTACCTGTAGAGTGACTTCCAGCGGAACTTTAGTAAACAGTGAAACCGCATCAAAACTCACCAAGATGTCTGCTTCTTGTAGTTTGATTGACTGTAACTTCTGAACAAACATCTCTGAGTTTTAAATGTGATGGTTGTAACGTCCAACAAACGGGCCGAGAAGACCTGCCAGATACTTTGCCAAGGCATATGTACTATGTAGGAGAGGCTATACAGTTTACTATCAGTCTCAGTGGAACGTCGTTCTTATGAATCTTAAGACCGCCATTCACGATCGCTCCATTCGTCCAAATGGCGCGGTGTCGCTCCAAAATTGTACCGTGAATGCGGAAACTGAAGTCCATTGGCGTGGCGTGGTGGGCTCGTTTGGATATTCTGTCGAGCCATAATCCATCCGATC